ACGTTATGCCATCTCACGATGTTTCTGATTGTTCGAACGCAGGTGAGAGTTTTTACCAATCATTTCCAGGGTGCAGCAAATGCCACAAATACTTTTGTATTGAATGTTTACTAAATTACCACAAGAATTGTTGATAGCCTTTGGTTTTGCTAATTTACGAATGCCCTCTGAAGTAACTTCGCTTTCTCTTATTACTAAGATCAGAAGTAAACGTTTCACGGACCACTGCGCGTCAAGATTCTATAATAGGTCGTAGACCCGCTCGATACTTGGAAGGGTAAAAAAAATCGAAAATGAATGTTATACACAGAAAATAATACTGTAGCCCGTGCATATGTATATATATAACTATATGACTATGGAATCTCTATGCACGTTAGCCAACACTATGTGCTACAACATGCTAGAGTCGCATTTGAAAATATCCCCCATGAGCGCGGATAGAAGTCAAAGTTTGCTCCCGACTTGATCGCATGTGGCACGCAGGTATCCTCCTCCATTTCTTCCCAGCTATTCTTCAGCCTTTGCATTCTAGGACTCCATACTGAGACTGCAAACTCGACAGGTCCTCTTCTAACCGTGGACCAGTCGTGGGGTCAAGTGAGTCAAGTACTGGAAAATAGGATGACCATCCCTCTTCACCAATGAATTCGGGCAGCTGTCGTCGGCACCACTCACAGGCAAGCTCGACTCTGTGGGCTGGAGAAGCGTCCCGCTGGAAGGACTACGAGATGTTTCAGAAAACGTGGTCGGATCAATGTTTCATTTACTTCCATCAATACGCCTTTTGAGTACTGGTCTTGGTGAATTTTCATGCCTGCACCGAAGAAACCACGAGCGGCTTCCCCTTGCCAGTGATTTCGCGGAAAACATGATTTTACTATTCTGATAGTAGCAACCATTTTGTGAGATACTACACGCTAGGCGTTTCTTTCTAGAACGCGAACGTTTCGGTTGTTGAGGAATGGCTATATCTCGAAAAATTCTTGACCAGAGAAAACGACGAAGGGTTGCGTGTCATCACTTTTGACTTTCTGCGTTTTTGGCCCGCAGTATCTGTTGAGATCGGAATTGAAGCGAAATTTCTGCATACGATAGGAACGGCAGTGGAGCTCCTGCATGACATTCTTCCATCGCGATAACTCCTGTAAGCCGTGCCCGTTGACTTCCTTTTGATTGGTCACCCACAATCCCGACCGATTGGCAGACGGACCATTTTTATAGTCCTATCTTCAAAAACATTCTACCTTTCTACCTTTCCTGGTTTGTCTCTGATTCAAGCTTTTTCTGTATCGCTTAATAGCCTCCTATCCGGCTATTGCAAAAATCCCAAGGAATTTCATAATGCCCTTTCACCTCTCGCGTGTCAATGATTGCAAGTGGCATTGAATGAGCCTCCTCCATCTGAAAGATATTGAGAGTTCCACTTCAGTAGCCATGCATATTGCAAGGAAACCTTCTTATGCAACTAACTAATAACAGGTTATGTGAATTTGATATATTATTTCTACCTTAAAAATTCTATGTATGTATGTATGTATGTATGTATGTATGTATGTATGTATGTATGTATGTATGTATTTATGTATGTATGTATGTATGTATGTATGTATGTATGTATGTTTGTTTGTTTGTTGTATATGGGCCACGCGGTCCTAGGAGCACGACAGGGCGTGGCCCGTATACGGGCTACGCGGTCGTCAATGGGTTAATGTGCAGACAGGAGATAACTACTACTGATGACTGCTATTGAATAGCCTTGGAAAAATGCTCTTCATCTTTGTTGCATAACTTTTCAATCCGAGGGCCACCAAAGAATGCATCACACCCGCCAGAGGAAATGGGAAAGCAATAGAGCAAAGGCGTGTACAATGATAAGATTATCTAGGTCGCTCAAACCGACTAACGTAGAAGGTATGAACGATGATTATTTGAATGAATCGCTCAATAGCCGAGTGTCGTTGGATCAAAAGCCACCGCAAAATCTCAATCCAAGGCCAGATTCGGGATAATTATGCATGTGGAGTGGCTCTTAAAAAAGCCAATTGGCAATTACAAAGCATTGTCATGGAAATTAGTTTCGAGATAGAGCCACACTTATCACAAACAAGCCGAACTGACCATGGTTACCTGTAGGTAACAGGACTGGGCGAAAAACTGTGTATATTCCACCCGCTGCCCACGCAACTCTTTGTTAACCCATTGACGACCATCACGTTTGGCGGGGAAAGCGCCGCGAGGGACCGGCGCGCTTGTAGTCCACTCGCGATTGCAGCCTACATGTGGACTACATGGTCCAGTATGACCATTTTTTGAAGCTTATAGGAGACACTCATAAGTTTTTTGGAATGCTCTTTCAAATGGGTTTGGAAAGAATGCCCACATTGAGTGATTATTGATCTTTATTATAGAACCGGCCCTCAGTCTCATGGTCATTCGATTATGATTCAATTATTACCAAAAATCGTTTCGGGAAACTTTTATGAACTTTGCGTTCGGTCGATAACAGCGAAAATGCTGGCGACGACCGTCTTTTCAAGGTATCCCATTTTTTGAGGTTGTTCGACGAACGAAGACAACAAGGTAATGTACTACTTCGAAAAAACACCTTTACGATTGCTAAATTAGAAGATTTTCCAGAACAACGCTGTATGTAGTTTCATTTGGACCTGATGTAGTGTCTTGAGAAGGAAAATTGTAAAAAAGTGGAAATGTAGGTGAACAAAACAAAAAAAAACTGCAGTTCATATGTGGACTGCACGGTCCCACAAGGCCGAAAAAGTGCAGTCCACATATGGACTGCATTGTCGTCAATGGGTTAAGGAGAAGCAGTAGCTCCAACGCCACTGCAATCTCAAATACATGTCAAACATGGGTAGAATCTCAAAAAAATCATCCCATGATGAGAGCTTTATTATTGATCTTTCTGGGACTACCTGCTACTGCTATAATATTGATACTATAAGCAATAGAGCTTGATCCGCCCACTGAATAATTCGAACAATGAATTGAGCAGATTTCGATTCATGTCGAATATGAACAATTCACTGATACCAACTGGTTTGCAAATACTAAGGAATGTGGTGGCGCATGTGAGCATACGAGTTGCAAAGAAAGTGAGACCTTTAATTACATATGTGAGTGGGGGTATGTCAGGATTGGAAATCGTGCAATTCTCCAAGGAATGCCAGACTGCAACGACTGCTTGTGGACTACATCGAGGTGAAACATCACAATGTAAACATCTTATTGCATAAAAGTGATAATGGCATTTGGGTCAGAAAAAAGCCGACACGAACTCACAAGGCTGCACTAAAAACGCTCTACTAACAAGCAAATTGCCTAGACTTTAGTCTCGATGTCCACATATTTTTTATACGGCTCTTTTTCACTCATGTGCGAGCACCAGCAACAAACCATTCGCTCCTGCCTTTCGCGATCGCCATCCACGGTAGGCTCAGAATTCGGCGAAGATGACGATGTGAGGAGTCGTTCAGCTGCTGTCGCAGCTGTTGTACGTGATCAAAGAGCACATCCCCGTCTCGCTACAGGCCTACTTTTGGATCGTGAATATCTTACAGGAGCCCACTCGACTGTCTTTCTGTCCGTCTGCCATCATCTCTTCTCACGATATGACCAGCCCACCGAAATTTTGCGTTATTCATATATTCTACCGGCTTGCGGAGACGAGACATTCAGCGCATATCGGAGCTGCGGTGTCCGGCTCGATATTGAGTGAGCCGGTTGAACCTCAAAAGACATCGCTCGAGTGCTCTGTGACTTGTGCTCGAGCCCTTGACGTGTATGCACTGACCACCCAAGTCTCCGACCCGTAACAGCGCAGAAGAACGCTGGAATCGAACAGATTAGCGCGAAGTTTCGGGTCGGCCAGACGGATAGTGAACTCTTTCAGATGTCCGAAGGCTGCTACCCTCTTTTTGCCGTTTCACCAGTTCTTCCCTCATGTCGTTTTTCATATAAATGGAACGCCCGAGATACACGTAGGATGGAGTCTTCTTAATGGCTGTATCATCGATCTTAATTTGACCTACGTCATCCCAAGCATACTTCATGAACTGTGTCTTTGTTTGGTTGATCTGCGCCCTACCTTCTTTCCTGCTTCATTAAGCTTAGCAAGCATAGCCTCAGCTCCCGCAACGTCGCTTGAAAAGAGAACGATGTCGTCCGCAAAGTGGAGATTTGAGAGGAACCATTCACCCACTTCTCTACTGGTTGAGGCTCTTTTCCTTCTGGAAATAGAACGTATGTGTGTTGCGGGAAGCGCATGAAGTTTAGCCACCTGCGCAGAGTAGGTCGGTTGAGATCTTGCGGGAGCCTTGAGTTGTGCCCCTCTTCATGCTCGCAATCGCAGCTCTCACCTTCGAAGGAAGGATCCGAGGTGATGTTCCGCCAGTGGGGTATTTTGGTTTTCGCACGTGTTTCGTGGATCGGTACAGGTTGGTAGAGACCTCTGTGTAGCTTCCTCCATCGCAAATCTCGATTTTGTAATTGTTCCGTCTTCCTCCTTCAAACATGAATGCGGAATGCTGTGGTCCTGGTATAGCTAAAGGTCTCGTCGCACCGCCCGCCTGCAGCTGATATTCGCTTGCAGCCTTTCAAGGTGTGTGGCATTCCGGTCATGCCTCAAGTTTCTTCTTGTCCTGAGAAGATCCTCCGTCGCATCTGAAATGCAAGCGGAGGTATCCACTCGAGGGAGCTTGGCCTGTTCAACGCAAGTGAGGAGGCCCCGAAACAGTGTGTCGTAGTCTTGTCGGGTCATCCAACACTTGCCAGTCATATCGGCACAACACGTCGTTCAGAACACCTCCGTCATATACACCTTCTTCGTGCCCTTTGCATGATGTTGAGAGATCTTTTCCAGCTTGTAACTGAATCTGATCTTAGAGCGAAGGAGCCGATGATCAGATTCACTGCAGAAAAATGGTACCACAACAACAACTAGTAAGCATCACTTTCTGTTTGTTAGTACGTGGTCCACATCAGCATGAGTTGTACCGTTTGGAGACTGCCATGTCTAGCTTCTGGAAGAAGGAAATCCCTTGGAAGAGTGGAGCAGCGGACAGGAGTTCAGCCAGACGGTTTCCGTTTGCGTTTCTGTTTCCCATTTCGAACTTCACAATACTGAACTCCTCCTCTTGAGCTTCGCCAAGCCTAGCGTTGAAATCAACAAAGAATTTATAGAAGGACTTTTCGCTGTGGATGAATTCCTCAAGTTGGTCGTAAAATGCATCGAACGTTACTTCATCAGCTGCAGAATGCGTAGAGTAGCAGTTAACGATAGAGATAGTCTTCATGTGCGTATGTTGTAGGCGTAAGATGGCAAAGCGCGGAGACAGGACTACATGAGGATTGACGAGGACGACAGATGGGTGCGCAACGAAATCAACGTCGCCGATGTTTCGCGATGGAAGCTTTTACCACTAAGGACGAGGGTTCCATCATTCATTCGTTGTACGTCGTTCCTCCCGCTCTTGGTTTATTGCAGCGCATCCACATGATACTTAGAGGCACAGTTCACGATAATTCTGAGTAATCCAGATTATGATGAAAAATGGAAGACAAGATCGAAAATAGTGCGATGAAAGGTGGAGAAACGGCGTGAATCGGTGTCCTCATAGTGAAAAAGGCTTCGAAAAACCGTTAAAAAGGGGGCTGGACGAGAATGAGATCAGAAAAATGGAGGAGAGTGGGGCGTTTGGACGAGCTATACAATGTGTCTCACTGCGTACTTGTGGGCCCTGGCACGAATAACAGACTATGGTAAGCAAAAATTCATTCACTTATGAGCATAAGTAAACAAAAAACACTAGTAACAGCAAAAGTAGCTCACCTTTTTCAGCCTCTAGGAGTAGGAAATTGAATAAGGGATCGCGACAGCAAAAAGAAAAACAGAGGAAAAAAGAATAGGAGAAAAACATCGCCCCATTACTCGGCGACGTGCTGATTGTGTATGGGTCCTAGAACGAATAGTTGCAATCTGTTTTGTCTCGACACTCGTCTGACGTGAAATCGATCGAGAGGCAGGAAAGCCATTGACGTTCCCGCCCATTGAATTAACTGTGCCTTTAATGTGAATGGCCGCATCGAGGAGCCCATGGGGAGCGGCATTGGTACAGACTGTTCTCGCATTATACGTTTAAAGTAGGAAATGGTCTCCGTGTCGCGTGGAGTGCTGTCATGGTCTGCATAACCCGAGATTTCTTCGCCTCTCACCGGTCGCCATGCCGTCCGACGCCGGAGACGGCAGACCCAGTGTGCGGGGTACTGACGCTGTTTTATTGCTGCTATAGCAAGCTTGCTCCCTGGAGTCTCAACACTCCCTTGCCGGAGCCAGTGCTGAGTCTTCACCATCGTGGTCATAGCCACTCTGGATCAGAGAGAGCTGAGGTGGCCTACTCTTAGCCTTTCAGGCATGCAGACGTGCCGTTGAGCTATTAATTATATATAGATATTTATATAAATAGTAATGAAAAAATGATGAAGGCTCCAACGCAAAACTCCGTCGACCAGTAGGAAACAAAGTCGAGCGACCGGCGACCGGTCGCCGGTCGCTCGTGAGATCAGTCGCGCGACCGGTCGCGCGACTGATCGCGCGACTGGTCGCCAGTCGCTAGCGACTGGTCGCGCGACCGGTCGTGGGCTATGAAAGATGCCATAGTCGGAGAGCCGGTCGAATGGGCGGAGCGGGGGCGAGGATGCCGATGGGGATTGGAACACGGGAGTCGCGCCGGGAACGGTCGTGAGACCGTCGCTTACACCCTTCTCTCTCTCAGTCTCTTCGACACGTTGATCTCTCTACGGCTATTCCGAGTCGATGTACATTGATGTCGTGAAGACGCCTTGTTTATGCGCGCATGAATATCCATAAAGGTTGTATTTAATTGTGTGTCGTATTGTTGCGAAGTATATGGGTCGACCTGGGGCCGTCTAACAGTAATAAGGGTTCCGACGCTATGAGGACGTCTGAACCTTTAGTGGTGCCAAGTCAGGACTACATGGTGGTTTACTCATCAAATCGATGTTCTGAGGGCTTAAAAATGCAGTTGTTTGAGCAGATGTGTGAGAGCTCGCATTGTCGTAGTGAAGAGTTTTCCTTACGAACAAATTTTATTGAAAGTCAAATGCTCATGCAATATTGAATGTATGCTGGTTCCTCTAATGCTTAGGGTTGTCTCAATCTCACGATAGGTCACATGACGGGTTTCCGGAGCAACAACGATTTTGAACCTCCACGAAATTCGTCCTGGAGTGAACTACAACCTCGGATGAATTCACCATACCATCGACAAACACTGCCTCTTTATCGCCAAAAGTTGAACAAAGTTCATCCATACACTGTTGTTGAGTTAATCCACGTCGAAAGTTGCAAAAAATAATCGCACGGAAATGTTCACGATTTAATTCCATTTTTTGGCCTATATAAATCTTTTAAGTTAGGTTTTCTGGGTACGCACAACCTCAAAAAGGTCAAACTTCACGATAGAGCTGTCAGTTGCCAAATTGCAACAATGGGGTTGCCCAATCCCGAAATATGAAAGGCAACCCTCGTATAATATTTGAAGGAGTAGCTGATGCGGAAAACCAACAAATAAAGATGAAATACTGAAAGATCGAAACTTTTGTTGCAGTCTCTGTCACGTAATCAAAGAGAGAATCTTCGATCTGTCTAAAGTAATCTATAGTGATTTAGTGCGCTTACAGAAAATGCTAATGAAACATAACAATGGAAAGGCAAAGCTATCAACAGCCGTTTGATATGGGTGCGTTTCGGGTCCGAGAACTTCTCCCCTAACACGGCGTCGCACACGCCGCACCCGCCGCCTATCGCAGGATTGCGATGAAAGATTGGAGCGCGCAATTCGTGAGGTAGAGAGTCCTTCAATTATTTGAATTGGCTGGCCGCTCTTTTCAATTCCAATGCGGTCTTGATCGTCGTTTATATAGGAGGAGTCATTTTAATTGATCGAGTCTAATAAACATGAAAACTAAAAGAAACAGAAGAAAAAACGATCAAATCCAATGGAAAAGCAAGCCAATCAACGAAAAATATCGCGTCCTATCGATTGACGGAGGCGGGGTGAGTACGGTAATTGCAGTGACATTTGCCGCATGCCGCAATGGAGTATGCCGCGATAGGGGAGAAGTTCCGTTACCCGTGCGTTTCGCTGCTCGCGCCGTCGAAACTAGGTCGCGCCGCAGCCGTCGCATGCGGCTGGTCAGCTAGCGATACTTGACAGACGTCGCAGTTGTCAATGGGGCATACGACTCGCGCTTGGCCCACGGCAGTCAGCTCAAAGAGAAGATAACACAGACAAATGCTTATCATTCACTCCACTGTCACTTGGTGGTACTGTAACGGAATTCCAAGACCTAAAAGGGGTGCGCCGAATTTTGCGGGGTAACCTACTTTCGACGGACGCGCGCAACGGACGTTCTCCGTTTGATATACCGGCAAAGGAACGCATGAGGCTGAGAGCAATGCCACAGTCAAGTGCAGAAGCTAGCCACATGAAAAGTATGAAAGTTCGTGAGCACCCAACTGCGGGTTCAGTGAAGGAAGTTTGCCACAAATCTGGAATACTGGGTTTGAGAATTAGCCATTCTCCAGAGAAATCGTTTACAATTCTACCAAGTCAATGAACACGTATGAGAACGAGACAAGCGCCTCCGCTCCAATGACTGAGCATGGGACTAATTCCATGGATTAATACTCTTATTGGCTGCTTTCATAATCCGCCGGCCGGCGTGCCACGGGGCAGTGCTAGGGGGGAGGAGGGCGGCAGACGGTTGGTCAGCCCCTCGAAGGGCTGTAAGCAAGGAGAGACAAGATCAAAAACCATTTGTACAAGCCCCTGGTTGTTTGGTTTTTGTTCTTGTTCATCTTTGTTTCCACCCTTCGACCGACCGTCTGCCGCCCTCCTCCCCTCTAGCAGTGCCTCGTGGCACGCCGGCCGGCCGGCGGACTATGAAAGCAGCCATTGAAAGTCGTCACCTAATAAAGTGATGAAACTTTAATTGGAGAGTGGAAAGTCTCAAATAGTCACAAGATACAACCAATTGGGGAAGAACACTAGATCAAAGTTGCTAACTGTAATAAAACATTTGACTTCTGACTTACTAATTATTTCATTCGGCTTTGTTTCGCACAGCCCCCGCTAATGTTTTCGCTGAGACCTATGACAAAGTGTCTCATCGAGGCAATTCTGTTCACATCCAGCCCTCTAATGAGCACAAAAATCTCGGGTAAAACACCCGATACTTTTTGCCCCAAAGAAATAAGCTTCAGCTGAACACCAATAACACAAGTGTGAGGAGGTGAGGAGTGTGAGATGAATCGTCTGAGGAAAATGACTTACGAACAAAATCGTTACATAGTACCCCTAACTCCCCCCCCCCCCCCCCCCCCGTGGAATCGTGCTCAGCGTACGAAAACACAGTTGGCAGGAAGTGTCTCACTACAAATGGTACAAATACAAATTTAACTCTTCAGTAAGAGTTGAGGTTCAATAAATGGGAGAATATTGGAATCATAACGTCAACGGAAGAAACAATACATCTTCCAATTGATCCGACCTCAATTACACTAGCGCTGTATCATGCACAGAGCTTCGCTTTACTGATGACATGTTTAACACAGCTTACCAACACTTGCAGGTCTAAAATTGCAAGCTGGTCAGCCAGTCCTGCAATGAACCGCGAAGTTGTTGCCCCTGTTAACTAGTACATGATATAATTCGATTACATTCGTTGAACTGGAAGAAGCAGTAGAAATAAACGCTATAAAAATAGTGAAAAATGAAAATTATGGAAGAGAATGGACGAGACATCATTACACAACAGGAAGGATTTCCTACAAGTTAATCAGTCAAGTTGGGAGTATTTACATTGTTCTTCGGATATGATCTTTCTCCAGATCCATGCAAATTTATAGAGCAAAATGGCTGTGACAAATTGTGATAAGTTGTAGCTATAAATCATGCGGATGCAGAAACTCCTTGAAGACACAGTTTACGATAATTCTGGGTAATCCAAATTTTGACGAAAAACGGAAGATACGATGGTTAATAGTGCGATCAAGGCGAAGGAACTGCGTGAATCAGTGTTTGCAAAGTGAAAAAAGGCTTCAAAAAATCGTTAAAAAGGAGGCTGGACGATAATGGGACTAGAAGAATGAAGAAGAGTCGGGCGTTCGGATGAGCTATACAATGTGGGTCATTGCGCACGTGTGGGTCCCGGTGCAAATAGTTGATAAGCAGAAATTCATTCACTCATAAACATAAGATAACAAAAAACC